TCCTTGATCCCCCGGAAGGGGTCGAAATTTCAGAATATGGACTTGGAATTTCGTAAAACAGCTGCCTTTTACAAAGAATCTTTGCTAGTCTGCCCTTTCCTAAAGAATCTCTGCTAGCATACCCCGGCAAAACAGGCTGTAAGAACAAGCTTTAGGAAATGAAACAACCCTTTCCTTCCACTCCAAAATTCCAATCCGCACCTAAAAACAGCACTTTCACGAATTGGTCTTTTTTATGACTTTCATGGGCTTTGGTGACACCCTCATGCTCCTTTATGTTACTCATTACGGCGATTGGGTTGCACTTTAGAATTCTATTCGTGAAGTAGTCTTGCTTTGAGGTATGATATAGAATGGATGAAATTATTATACAGGGCAGGCTAGCAGCGATCCTTCCAGAACGGACAGGCTAGCAAAGGTTCTTTACGGAAGGGCAGGCTAGCAGAGCTCCTTTAGGAAGAGCAGGTTAGTAGAAATTCTACAGAAATGGCCGGTTAGCAGAGATTCTTAGGAAGGGGTAGGCTAGCACAGTTCCTTTAGGAAAGGCAGGCTAGCAGCAATTATTTAGGAAAAGACGGGCCAGCGATTTATTTGGAAATGGCGGGCTAGCAAATATTCTTTCGTAAAAAGCAAGCTGAAAAAAGGTGCTAAAGAAGACATACTAGCAGAGTTTCTTTAGGAAGTGGTAACCAGCAGAAACTCTTTGACGAAATCCCAGAGAGTGTAAAATGACACAAAAAGAATCGTGCCAAGGCGAACGGGCCGAAGGAGCAATTTGTCGGAGGCATGGCCCGGGTGCTCATGGGAAAGTTGGAGGATGTGGAGGATGATATTTTGAGGCTGAGGTGGAGAAAGAGAATGGCCTCAGGGACAGTTGGTAGGAGGGGGGACGACAACTGACAGGAGAGAGAGAGAGAGAGAGAGAGAGAGAGAGAGAAAAGAATGGTGAGACAAAGGGCCCTGTCCATAAGGCCAAAGCCATGCCCGGCCCACGTGAAAATTCGATCGGGATCTGGGAAATCAAGGCAGTGGGCAGGCTAGCGGAGGTTATTGAGGAAGTCGGGCAAGCTAGCAGAGATCTTTTGCCTGGAGAGAGCAGCGGAAATTCCTTAGGAAGAAAAATTGACAAAAGTCGGCTAGCAGAGAACGTTTGGAAGAAATTACTGCCGGGCAGCTAGCAGAGATCCTTTAGGAAAGTCCTATTCCGTTTCTAAACTCTCAACAAATTAACAAAGATCATTTGGCATCAATACCCGGCCCCCCTAAAAACAGACGTAAACACGAAAACAAAGAGTAATGACGCGGAAAAACGGGCGGTTGCGGGGTGCAAAAAGGAGGCGAGGGAGGGGACCGTATCAGCCGATCCCCCAGGAAGAAGAAGCCTTCTTGTTGCTGCTTCTTCCGATTGATCTCCCCCACGCAGAGATTCTGGAATAATGGGCGGAAGGAGGGTGGAGATAAGAGAGAGAGAGAGAGAGAGAGGGCGAGAGAGAGAGAGAGAGACGATGCAACATGAGAGTTTTGTGAAATCATGATTTTCTGAAAAACGCAAAAAATTCATCAAGGATCCCTGCTAAAATTTTTTCCTCAATAAAACCTGCTAGGGTGCCCAAAAATAATTTTTAGGAAATTCCGTAAATTCCCTAATAATCTCTGCTAGATTGCCTCAATTCCCTAACAATCTCATCTATCCTGACATTTCAATAATCTGCGCTAGTCAGCTCGTTTTCCAAGTTTCCAAAATTTACAATAGTGCCGGTTACGGTATCCTGGGGGCATCTTTTAATTTCTCAACCCTTCCATTCTTCAATCTCGGATCACGAGCGATTGAATTGAGGCTCAAAGTGCGGCGACCTCCGCGGCCCATCACTCCGTTTTGCACGAATTTATCGCCCTCGCCTTTTAGCACCCCAATAAATATAAAAAAGAGCGCGTCATAGGGGGAGAAGAGGGATGGCCAGGGATGGCCGGAAGAAATGTTGACGGACAGCGAACACAGCTTTTGGGCCGATTTGCCTTTGAACTGTTGGCACGGGTGGGGAGATATGTTAAAAACCGAAGGAATTAGGCTAAATGAAAAAAATAATAAAAGAAATGTGCAAATACAGAATTAGTTGAAACCAGGGTTGAAAAGCCGCTTCGCGACTTTTCAACCCTGGCCCCGTCTAACCCTATGATGTTCTTCGTTTTGCATAATTGTGCCCAATTCCGATGACAAAAAATGAAAAACGCTCCTGTCGGGTCTTTATATAGGCTACTGCAACTTCCAGCGTATGCTAATTTTCTCCTAACAAAGTGGCTGTCGGAATTATAAAGAAAAACGTAATTTTTAATGTCGAAAACAACATATTTTACAAAATCTTATATGTGTGCAGTCATCTCCAGCCCATTACGCATCTAATGACGTATCAAACACCCCCTCAAACCCATCTCCTCTCGAGATATCCTCCGGACACCCTGACGGAAGTTGCATGCAAATGCACGCACACCACACACACACACACACACACACACACACACACACACACACACACACACACACACACAAACACTATTTTTTTATATATAGTAGGATGAGCTCTAGAGAACCGAAAGAATCTCTGCTAGTCTGCCATTTCCTGAAGAATTTCTGCTAGATTGCCCTTCCTCAGAATCTCTGTTATGTTAGCAGTTATAAAAATGTGGAAATAGGGGGTCATAAAAGAAAATGGCAACACCGAGGTGTCCCCAGTGTATATCCATACGCAGACACACATTTTTGGACCCAATTCCATTAGAGGAGGAGGGGGGCATTGAGGCCTCTCTCTCTCTCTCTCTCTCTCTCTCTCTCTCTTTCTCGCCATCCAAAGCCACCCGAGCCGTTGAGCTGAACCTATTGCCTGGGAATTTCGGTTGAAAATGGCTTAAATTCGGCCCTTACACTTTGAAATCGACACGTTGGATTTGAAATGTTTCAATTTCGGCGCTTTGAAACTAAAGCCTTAAATGGGGTTTAATAGAATCAAATTTCGCGTGAACTTTGAGGTCTTGGAACTTACGTGCGATTTTCTGGTCCATCCGTTTCAGCCAAAAAGTTTTTTCATTTCCCAAAAATTCTCCGCTAGCTGACAGTTTCCTAGAGAATCTCTGCTAGCGTGCCCATTCCTGAAGAATCACTGCTAGCTTTCCCTTTCCTAAAAAACCTGCGGTTTCTCACGATGGTTGATAGGGGGCGGTCTTTCAAAACACTGTGTTTGTTGATAATTTTTTATTGGTTTTAAATCATAGTCAATCGATATCCTATCGTGCCGTTCCGCTGCCTTTCTATGAACAGCACTCCCCGATGCGCTCGTGATCCTTGGTGTTGATCAACGGGCCGATGAATAGGAAAGCTACGGTATGACCCAGGACGACTGGAAAAAAAAATCGTTTTTGGAGTCTTATAAAAATTACCTGAAGCCACCAATGGAACATTATACGTCATGGAGACCATCATAAGGGAATAGCCGAGGAAAGCCTGGAAATGGGAGCATTAAAGGGCACGTTCAGGGACGTTTTTTTTGGAAAAAGCAAAGGTTTTTGCCGGGGCCGGGGGTCGAACCCGGGTCCCCCGCCTGGGAGGCGCGGATGGATACCAGTCAGCCACAGCTACAACCTGGCAAGAGGGCGAGGGGCGCCCCACGCCGCAAAGGAGGGGAATGGCCTGTCACAGCACGGACAGGCAGTGCGCGCGGTCCCTAAGTCCATAGGGTGTACACGTTGGGGCGAGTACACGGCCCCTCCCTGAACGTGCGCTTTAAGGAAAGCTTTACGCCCCCTAACCGAATTTCGACTTTCTGGTCCCTTTAATGGCACAATGGAAATAACTTAAACACTTTAATATGCGCGTTTGGCATTAAAAGTGTTTATTAAAGGGATTCGTCAAAATTAAACAGCGCATGCCGCATTAATGGTAGGTTTTAGAACGCAGCATTAATGATAGAAAACTGCGTAAATCTCACTTGAAACACCATGGTCAACGAGTTGATCACGTGCCGCCCGTCGCCGAATATCTTCTTGCTGAACTATGATCTTCAAGAAACAGGCAAACCGAGCACTCACTAGTTAATAGTATCCTGGCGTACAAGTTGGGCTGTCGAGCGATCCGAACCGCTTGCCGTCGCCGTGTCGCACGGGCAATTCAGGAGGGAGGTCGTGCACGCGCACTAAAGGGCAGCTGGGCTCAATTTATTCAAAAGGTTCGTCTATGCGTAAGTTTCTCTACAACGAGTAGAAACGATGCGAAAACGTACATCAGCGTCGACCTCCTTCCCCAGCGCCAACCGTCCGAGCTTCAAAAACTCGAAAAATACGGCCATCGCCCCAACGGCCAGGCATGAGAAGACGTAGCCTCAAAATTGGAGATTTTGCCTTGCCAACCCCTTTAAACGAAGGGAAAATCAGGATTTGCTGCTGTTCATTTTCTCGATAGTTTTATTTCCTGCGTAAAAAACTAACAACTACTACTTGTAAGACACATTTAACGAGGCGAAGCGGCTTGCGCGTCGCGTGTCGCGGGTTAGTCAAAATGGATCTAATATGGATCCCGTCGCACCGCGTCATGCAACGCATACCTCTGACTTACCACCGCGTAATCGATTACGACAGTCTGATCCCTTCCCAATCCCTGTAAACGTACCTGTCGTATTCCCAGGTACCCATTGCTCGAAAAGGATCGGGTCCCCAATCCGGAAATGGAAGTACATCGTCATCATCATCATTTTGAAGGTTTTGTAGTTTGTAGTCAAAATTCGCAGTTCTTCTATAGCTAAATTTGATAAAAAGCCAGTGACAACCAGCAGAGATTTCTAGAGAATAGACCTCGTCCAATCTCTACACAGCAAAATTCGTATTCAACGATTTATTTAATGACCCGTGAGAAGCGGAAAGCTGAAAAAATGTTTCAAAAATTGAATAAATAAGAATAGAGTGGGATCCTAACGTTTTTAAGGCTTTTGGGTCGGAATTCCGCGCCATTCCTATCCACAGCACTCCTCGCCTGGCCGCGAACGATTGGGGAGTACGGGGCGACTACCGAAGAAGTAGAACCCGATGCCGGAGCCTGAAAGTGAAGTTTAGCTGAGGCTTGGTTGGCTTAGGCCTAGGTTTAGGTTGGGCTTACAAGGAGACGTTTTTTGAGTGTCGTCGGGACTTTGGCACGGGACCAAGCCTATCTTGTGCAGAATTTTACGCTGATTCCGAATATGGTAACGGTTTTTGCGGAATAGTCATTTCTCGAAAGTTATGAACGATTTAAACCTCAAAACAGCCCCCATCGGCTACTTTCGATAGTCATAAAAGGCTTCGGAATAGGTTTTAGACAAAACTTGATAGTGCATCTTGTTCAGAAAAAAAATTCTTTATAAAATAAGCTACTTAACTTAAAAATGCTGGAATTTTGAAAATTTTTGTAAAATTATGGACCTCCCAATTTATCAAATTTTTCCAACTTTTCAATGATTTTGGAAAAAATGGTACATTTTATAGAGAATTTTTTTCTGAACAAGATGTGCTATCTGGTTTTGTCTAAAACCCTATTTTGATCCCTTTGTGACTATTGAAAGTAGCCGATTTTGCGCTGTTTTGAGGTTTAAATCGTTCATAACTTTCGAAAAATGGCTATTCCGCAAAAACGGTTATCATATTCGGAATCAGCGTAAAATTCTGCACAAGATAGGCTTGGTCCCGTGCCAAAGTCCCGACGACACTCAAAAACGTCTCCGTGTTAGACATAGGCTAAGATTTAGGCTTAGGCTTGACTTGGTCTTTGCTTAGGCTTATGCTTATTGTTAGGCGCAAAATAGGCTTGGCTTAGGCTTGTCTCGGTTTTTAAGCCAGGCTTGGCTTAGGCTTAGGCTTGGCTTGGGCTTAGCTTAGATTTGGCTTGGCTGCCTGACTAACTGACCTGACTGACTGGACCGGACCTGACTTAGGGTTAGGTTTGGGCTTACTCTGGCTTCATCAGCTTGGCTTTGGATTGGTGTGGAAGCTTCTGACTTACCGATGGCAATCGCCAGCCCGACCCAAATCGAGAACGTCATAAACGCCAACATCAACAAGTAGCCGAGGGTGATTTGGATGAAAAAGAGCAGCACCTGAAACAAGAATGCTTGTCCCGCCAAGACCTGAAAAAAATCGACAATTCGCAAAAATTACCGGAATTTTTCAAAAACAAACCTGAACCAAGTGAGCGTGGTGAAACAGTCTGCCGATATATGTTTCAGGTCTGAAATTAATGCCATTTTTGTAAAATTGTAAAATCGCGACTTACAGCTTTCCATCCCAGTGCTGCTCGGCCCTCCACCGTGCCCATTTTAGAGCCTCAAGGCCGATGGCCAGGAAGAGGAGGATGAAACACGAGTACACCATTTCTAAAAGCATAGCAACATCGTAAATCTATTCGTAATTCATAAACGGTAAGGTGGTAAGGTAAAAAGGTGATGTAAGAAAAAAGTGAATCGCGATTCCAGCCAAAATTCCGACAGCTAATAACCCCCGAACAAAATATCGACAGACGCCATCACGACCGGCCACAATACGCAGCCCAAATTCCGACAACAAAAATCCCGACAGTCAAAATGCCGACAGGACCAAATCCAAACAGCCAAAATCTCGATGGCAAGATGGCGACAGCCCAGAATCCCGACAGCCGAAATCCCGACAAGACAAAATCATGAAGGTCAAAATACCGTCCTTTTCAGCAGCTATTTTGGCTGTCGGGATTCTGGATGTCGGGATTTCGACTTGCCGGGATTATTTCTGTCGGCATTTTGGATATCGGGCATTTTGGCTTTCGAGATGTTGAGAGAAAGAGGGAGAGAGAGAGCGAGAGAGAGCGCGAGATAAAAGAGCGAGAGAGAGAGAGTGAGCAAGAGAAAGAAAGAGAGAGAGAGAGAGCGAGAGAGAGTGAGCGAGACTGAGAGAGAGAGAGTGAGCGAGACTGAGAGAGAGTGATAGATAGCTTTTGAAGCCAAAATCCCACCCCCAGCCGTGTTGACCGTCCAAAAATCGAAGAGAATCGTGTCCTCGACATGGGTGTGGAACCACATCCACATTTTGTGCATCTTCATCGGCACTGGAAAAATCATATTAATTTAATCATATTTATCCTACTATATATAAAAAATAGTGTCTGTGTGTGTGTGTGTGTATGCCACTTTGCATGCAACTTCCGTCAGCGTGTCCGGAGGATATCTCAAGAGAGGAAGGGAATAACTGGGCGTATGATACGTCATTAGACGCGTAATGGCCTGTAGATGACTGCACGCATATCAGATTTTTCAAAATCGATTGTTTTCGACATTAAAATTAAGTTTTTCCTTAAAAATCGGACACCCTCTTTGTTAGGAAAAAATTAGCATATACCGGAAGGGGGAGTAGCCTATATAATCGGGGAGAGGACGCGCTTTTCATTTTTTGACATAACAGTGCGGAAGGATTATGCAAAGCGAGGGATATCATAGGGTTGGACGGGGCCAGGGTTGAAAAGTCGCGAAGCGGCTTTTCAACCCTGGTATTTATTAAATTACTTTTCATAGTAGAGCCGGTCATATCCATGGTCATGTCCATGCCCACCGGCGTCGTCGCCACGTCCTCCATTTTGCTGAAAAATGGGGTGATTAGACTTGAAAAGTTCACAACAAATTTACTAGTTGAATTGCTTGATTAAAAGGGTTTCAAAAAAATTCCCATGATTGGCTTAGGCTTAGTTTTCAACCTAGGCTTAGGCTTGGGCTTAGGCTTGGGCTTAGGCTTTGGGCTTTGGGCTTAAACTTGGGTTTAAGCTTAGACTTAGGATTTGTTAGGCTTTGTTATAGAGTTTTTCAAAAAACTCGTCAAAGTCAAGTTCAAGAACTTGAGCATTTCCGCACGATGAGACGCTTTTCCATCACGTAATCGATTAGCCTCTTGTTCAAACTACAAAAGGCTACCGCGGCGCCATCAATCGAAAATTTATAGCCACAAAATCCATATTTGAAGTTCGATTTACAGGGGCAGAAACGCGAGGTCGAAGCTCGAAAAGCAGCGTTCAGCTACGTAATGCACCCATAGACGGACGGGCGGAGAAAGGCAGACAGGGGAAGCCAATAAGGCCTTTTTGATGATGGGAAGAAGATCCCCACTCTGCACACACACTCTCACACAAAAAGACAAATGATAAGGAGCCACCCAGAGCATCTACCCCAAACCGAATTTTGATAAGAACAAAAAGGGGCTTGGGATGTCCGGGGCCATGTTTTGAATGTACCGAATCACATTACAGAGCGTGAGGCAAGACAGCGGAGATCCTTAGGGAGGTCAGTGAATTGGCTAGCTAGCAGAGATCATTCGCCACGAACGAAACGAAATCGGACACGAAATCGAGCACCTAAGCCTAAGCCAAGTCTAAGCAAACCGATGAAGCGAAGCCTCCCTACTCAAACGGACAAATCAAGCTCGCAAGATCAGGCGCAAAGCCAGAGCTAAGCCTAAGCGAAGTATCCGAAGCCAAGCCCACTAGGCCAAGCCTGCAAAGCCAAGCTCGGCGCAAGCAAGCTCATGAAGCCAAGTCCACGAAGCTATGCCGTTTTCGTCCCCTTAGGCCCCAGCCTCGGAACGCAAGCTCCTGAAGCCAAACCTCCGAATCCAAGCTCACGAAGCCAAGCTCGACGCGAGGAAAGCCACGAAGCCCAGCACATGTAGCCAAGCCCACGAAACCAAGCCCTTTCAGCCAAGTCCGAAGAGTCACTTTCCTAAATTCCTAAGCCAAACCTGTAAAGCTAAGCACACAAAGCATTTGCATTTGTATTTGCATCTAAATTTGCGAATTGCAAGCAAAAATTTGAGTGCCGCTTAATCGGGCAGCAGAAAAATTGGAAATCGAGAGATCACTCGTCCGTCCGGCGCGATGTCCTTCGACTTCAACCCGGAGACCCTGGCGACGCTGCGACGCCTCGACTACTACCACGCCGAGTTGTCCATGTAATTTTTGCAAATCTGGCTTTTGATTTTCGCTCGTTTGGGTACCCCCTCCCCCGCAAACGTTCCAGAACCCACTTTGTAGCAAGCAAGTGCTCAAGCTGGTGCGACAGCAGGGCGATTATCTGCTGTATTCGGAGAAGCAACAAGGTGGAGAGCGTCGATTGCTGCTGGTAGTGGTGTACGGTCGGTTCTGGAGCGACCGCAAGGACTGTATGTACGCTCGGGTATGTCTCTATGCAAAAAGGGTGCACAAGGAGGCGTTGTTTAGTGCCCACGGAGTTTCGGCAGCTTTTGGCCGTCCCCCCCCCCCCCTTAAAGTTTCGCAACGCTTTTTCTTGTGGTCGTTTCGTAGATTCTGGAAGATACGTTTGAATTCGCAAAAGATTCTGCGCCAAATAGGCATGCTCACGTTTCGAAACTCCGTCGACACTACAAAACGTCTCCATGTTAACCTTGTTAGCCCCTCGTCCCTTCGTCCGCTCGTCCCCCCCAGCTCTTCAGCCATAACACCTATTAATCCTCGCTGAGCTTTACAACCAGGGTTCGGATCCACTCACGATTTTTATTTTTTGCTTTTTGACCAGTTCCTACTTTTTGCATTTCCAAACTAGGGAATAAGTTTCTCTTGGCTGTGTGACCCCTAAATAGCTTGAGCGATGCTAAAATACCCCGGGCAACAAAAACAGGCTTGGACGCTCTCTAAATCAAATTTGTCAAAGTTGTCAAAGTAAAGTTGGCCTACGGTTTACTTTACCCCCCCGCCGGAAGTTTTTGGCTATAACTTTTTTATTACATTATTGTAGGCTCAAATTAAAACTCTTAGTATATTTTTCGACGCTCTATCGAATGGCGTTGCAAAAATCCCAACAAAATAAGCGAAAATACCGACAACTTTGAGCTGTGGGGGGGGGGTAAAGTAAACTCTTACCTAAAGTTGGAAATGTCGACTTTGAATGCTCATAGCTTTTTACGGTTATACGCTCTGGTTGATTTTATTACCAATTTGGAAACGCCTCGACAAGGCGCGTCGAATGGTGTATCTGACTTCTCACATTTCGATGCCGAGTTCAGATACGTCCCTAGTTAAGCCAAGTTGACTTCTGACCTCTCTCTCGTTCTCTCTCGCTCTCTATATCTCGCTCTCTCTCCCTCTCTCTCTCTCTCTCTCTCCCCTCTCTCTCTCTCTCTCTCTAAAATCGCCTTTTTTCAGGTTGTCCAACGTGCCATCAACAAATCCACGACGGGGCCGGTCGTCTACACCATCAACAACGACATCTCCAGGCCGACAGTCGAAGAGCTCGTGCAAGCATACGTCACACAGGCCATCCCGCTGAGCAAGGAGAACGCGAAAAGCGTGCTCATCAACCCGATCAGCAAATGGATGACACAAGCTGAGGATATGACCATCGGAAAGAAGTTGCCGCCACGCGACGGAAGCCAGCACGATGAAGACGGTACTTGACTATTAGCCGGGGGGATAGGATTTTTCTTCAGCTTAAGCCTTTTTGTGAATAATGGAAAGAAAATTAGTAATTGAAGTTAAGAAATAAGAAATTTTTTTATTAGCGGTAGTGTTTGTAAACTGTTTTTTACTATTTATAAGCGTTACGCATTCTTCTAAAAAATACAAAAAAGTAGAAATCTATTTTTCCTAAAAATTTCGAAAATGTCGCAAAAGTCGGCATTTTATAGTCAAAATCGCCGTTTTTTTGTTGTGTCGAATAATCGGTATCGACATTGCAATTTTTGATAAAAATTTATAAAGTTTTCACTTTTAGGAATAGTAAAAAAATTTTTTTAGAAAGACTGCCACTATTTATATTTCAAAATTAGATTCTAAGAAAAAAGTTCGCGGGGGGAACCACCTTTTTTTGGCCCAAGCCTATATAAATAGTGGAAGTGTTTCTAAATTGTTTATAGCTATTCCTAAGCATAAAAACCTTTTACAATTTAATGAAAAATTCACCCAATTTTCGGCTTTTTAAAGCGTTTTTCTAACTTTTTAAAAGTTTTCCGATTCAAATAGGCTTAAATTTTGCTAAAACAATGTGAAAACACTTTATATTTGAATACTATCCTCGCCAGGGCCGACAGGAACAAATTTGGTTCCCCCGCGAATTCCCCCCCTCCCCGGGAATACACAAGAACCCCACTTTCCGTTTAGCCGTGATCGGCGACCCGCACGAGGGAAAACTGAGACTGAATGACCGCGCAGACGTCGACGTTCGGCTTTTTCCAATTAGCAGCAAGAAGTTGACAGATGAGCTGGCAAGTTTTTCAAATTTAGCCCCCATCGATCTTGCCCAGTTTCCAATATCAACAGCCTATCAGGAATTATCAACCATTTTTCTACCATTTGGCATAGCTTTACGATATCAACATTTTAAGTATTTTTATAATGTTTTAGTTTTAGGTCTTCATTTAATTTTTGAGGGCTTTCCTGATCCCTGTACGAAAAGAATCTGGCTTTAGCGCGAATGGATGTTCGAGGAGCTGCGGGTGCTGCGAAAGCTTGACCATCCCAATCTGCTGCGCATAGATGGGGCAGTGATGCGGGACGGCACTCTGTGGATCTTCATCAAGTGCGGATCTGTGAAGAGGACAAATTTGGACGTACATCTGCTCGCCGAAGGAGATAACATTTCTGAAGCACGCCGCATCGGATACCTGCAGGTGGGAGAGAGCGAGTTGAAGGAGAGAGATAGAGAGAGAGAGAGAGAGAGAACGCCTGAGAGCGTCTGAGAGAGTGTCCGGCATTTCGGTTCTTGCGGATTCTGGGGGGCGGGGGGGGGGGAGAACCGAACTCTTTTCGGATCAAGCCTAGATTTTTTATCCAAATAGTGGAATTGTTTCTAAACTGTTTATTGCTATCCCTAAGCATAAAGCTATGCAAAATTTAATAAAAAAATTAATGTTAGGTCGAAAGAACATTTTTTCGACCAAAAATGACCAAATTTTCGACTTTTTCAAGCGTTTTTCTAACTTTTTAAAAAGTTTTTCCGATTTAAAAGGCCTAAATTTAGCTAAGAACAATTTTAAAACAACTTTATGGGGGAAATATACGAAATACATACGCGTTTTCGCAAAATGGATAAAGGAAAATACCGGCATTTCCAACTTTTCCATTTAGGAAGTGGCCTGGGGTCTTCAGTATCTCCACCGGAAGCACATCGTCCTCAACTGGTTCCCGCTTGCTCATTGCAGACTTTACGAGATGCCGGGGTGGAGTCGAAACGGTATCTCTCTCTCTCTCCCTCTTTCTCTCTCTCTCTCTCTCTTTCTCTCTCTCTCTATAGCTCTCTCGCCCTTTCAGCAGAAATCCAATCCAAGGATCTCTTCAGGTCAAAATCTTCATTCCTGGAATGACCAACAGCGCGGGCAACATCACCGAGGGTAACACACGCTGGCTATCCCCCGAGACGCTTGAAGCGCGCAGCTTCAACCAGCAGACGGATATCTGGAATTTTGGTGTCGTCGGTGGGGTTCTCCCTCTCGCTCTCTCTCGCCCGCTCTCCAGCTCTCTCGCTGTCTTTCTCTCGCTCTCCTTCGCTCCCTCTCTTCCCTCTCTCTCTCTCTCTCTCTCTCTCGCTCTCTCTCTCTCTCTCTCTCTCTCTCTCTCTCTCTTGCCAAAAAAGCGGCAACCGAAATCCCGATAATTCAAGTTGTTTTGTTGTAGTCAAGTGGTTCTGGTCCGTTAGCGGGGGGGGGCATTTTGCCAATAACTTAGCTTCTCTTAAATGACATTATTTTGAGCTGCATTAACAACCAATAGTATTGTTTTCCAGCCCTGTCTCAGCGCATGGTAGATGAGGATGTGTAGGGCTAGCTGGGAAATGTTCGCCGTGGTCGAACTATTAGAGCCGTTATTTCTCTTACATCAGAAATTGTTAGAATTTTTTTTAAAAGATTTTGAAAGTTGATAAGATTAAGCCGCTATGCTTCGATGTATCCGGAATTTTTATTTAAATTAAATTTATTAATCAAAATATTTTTTTCCGCTATTTTTCGACTCAAATGCACTGTAGGCTGATTTTCCAGAGCACGAGCTACATTTTGATACTATTGACAGCTCTGTACGACGAAAGATAGCCGAGATACGAAAACGCACTTTAAACCTGCAAAAATTAACTGAAGAAAACCCAGACTTATAATTGTTATAAAAATTTTCTAACAATTTTTGATGTAAGGAAACAACTTGGCTATAGCAATTCGACCACGGCGAACATTTTGAGATACTCGGCGCATTAATAGGACGCATGGCTGAAAAGTTGTGGTTGGGGGGTAAACTAGACTCTACTAGGGTTTCAGCCTGGGAGATCTACACGAACGCGAGGGAACAACCGTACGCCTCGGACTCGATCGCCCAGGCAAAGGAGAAGATCATGGCAGGCGTGTTGCTCTCCTTCCCCCCGACGGCCAATACTGAGATTGGCGACCAGATCACCTCCCGCTGCTGGGCTCGGGACCCGAAGGACCGCGCCGATATGGTCACTGTAAGTAAAATGGTTCTGGACTATTAGCGGGGGGGGGGGGGAATCACTTATTGATGATATACTGCGTATTTTCACAGATTCTCCGTAGTTTTTGATTGCTAGGAAGTTCCGCTCGCCGTTCTTACCCTCTCCGAAAACACAAGACCCTAGATCTCCTACCTTCTCAAGGGCATCCGTCTCCGCCTGTCGCCAGAAGACGAAGGCGTTCAAGAAGTCGTCCAAGAATGCGTGGCCCCAGCTGCCCAGCCCGAGCCGAACGCACTGGGTGCTGCAGAACACGCTGAAGATGAGCAGCGCGAAGCCGCCTCCGCCGCCGATGTGCCGCTGGGAGAAGGAGTACTACACAAGGCCGATGCTCTCCCCGATGACCGTACTGATGTTGATCAAGGAGATGAAGAAGTCCTTTTCACGTCCCCGGAAGTCGAGCCGAATGTTCGCCCGAATGATCCAGTCGCACTTGCTGCAGTCGCCCCCCGTCGCCCCAGAAGCTGCAGAAGCTGTCGTTGAAGAGCCCACCAACGCCCCGGCCACCTACCACGTCAGATCCAGAGTGGTAGCTACGTTTAGTAATTCAAAATGGTAATTCCCGCCAGCGGGGGGAGGGGCGCAATTTTTGGATAACTTTGGATAAGCTTTGGATTTTTTTTGTGATTTCTTTGCGATCAAAAATAATAAAAAATACTGGAAATCATCTAGCATTAACAGGTGTAGGACAGAAAATAAGAATTGGGGTTCTCCGCCTAAAACTGCCCCCCCCCCTCCCCCCCCCCCGCTAGCAATCCAGTACCCTTCTTTCCAGCTGGGCGAGTGCGCGCGCTGCATGAAAATGACACTGGTGAACATTGCCCTCGTTCTGCCAACCTGCCGTGATTGTCATCTATGGTTCAAGTAAGTATGCTGATAACTGGTACTGCACTATTAGCGAGGGCGGAACGCGTAAGCTATCTCCCCGCTAGTCAGCGACTTCTGTGAGTTGCTTGGTATCTTTCGGTCCTTTCGCATTATCGGAGGGGAGAAGGAAATTTTTTTCTTAGCAACTATTGTTTTAAATATAAGCAGCTAAAGCGTTGCTGAACTGTTTTTCCTATTCCAAAACGTAAAAAAACAAATTGTAACAAATACAAAGAATATAGATTTTTGGCCAAAAACGGTCGTTTTAGAATTCGGGGGGGGGAAAACCGAACTTTTTTTGACCCAGGCCTAGATTTTTTATATAAATAGTGGAAGTGTTTTTAAATTGTTTATAACTATTTGTAAGCATAAAAACTTTACCAAATTTAATTCAAAAATTTTCCCTTAGGTCGAAAATCAATTTTTTCGGCCTAAAAATGACACCCCCCTCCCCCGCGAATTCTTCCCCCCCCCCCCGGCCCCCGGGAATACACAGGAACCCAATAACGTTATAGAAATACGTTTACTTTGGCTATTATTAAGGGAAAAAGGTATTGAAATTTCGACAAAATGCAAATTAGCCAGGGGGTCCGATTGGGAATGACAACGGCCGATATCTGCCTTCGCCAAATTCGATTTTTCAGTGCTGCCTGGAACGAATTCTACCCGGAGCGCTGCCACCACGAGACTTTCAACGGTGAGCTTGCCCCCCCACCGACATATCGACATTTCAATCTTTTTCAGGCAACTGCCGACACTGCAAGTTTGATCGATTGAGAGACAAGGGAATGACTCGGCCGACTGCCACCAAATAAACGAATCATCGGAACTATTTAAAAACCAATTCTTTCTCGGGTTGTGATTTGATTGCTTTGCTTTGCTTGGCTCGATTATCAACATTATTCCTTCCCTCCACAATCATTTGTGAGGCCAAACAAGCTTTAAATTCGTTCGCTCTGGTCTTCTAGCTTTCATCTGTTTCTTCTGGCTTTCTGTTGTGATCCTTCTGGCGTCTTTTAGCTTTGCTCGTTTAATAGGACTACATTCAGTTTTCCTCTATTAAGTATATAATCTGTGCTCTACTCTTTGTGGTGAATTAATAAAGGTTTGTTTATGGAAATCAATAAAAAGCGGTTGGGTATGCACAACGAAGGCTAGAGAGCGAGAGACAGCGAGAGTGAGAGAGTGAGAGTGAGAGAGAGAGAGAGAGAGAGACATTACTATCCGGCTATGGGACACCATAAATAATTAGAAATCGACTTCAGCGGCTTGGCTTCGTTGGCTTCTTGTCGGAGGTTTGGCCTTACCGGCTTGCCTTCGTGGGCCCGGCGGCATGGCTGGCGTGGTTTTTCGAGCTCACCTCATCACTTTGAAGCCTCATCACATCACTTCGAAGCCTCTTCTCATCACTTCCAAGTGATGTGATGAGGTTTTTCGAGCTCACCTCATCACTTTGAAGCCTCATCACATCACTTCGAAGCCTCTTCTCATCACTTCCAAGTGATGTGATGAGGTTTTTCGAGCTCACCTCATCACTTTGAAGCCTCATCACATCACTTCGAAGCCTCTTCTCATCACTTCCAAGTGATGTGGAGTGGTTTTTCGAGCTCACCTCATCACTTTGAAGCCTCATCACATCACTTCGAAGCCTCTTCTCATCACTTCCAAGTGATGTGATGAGGTTTTTCGAGCTCACCTCATCACTTTGAAGCCTCATCACATCACTTCGAAGCCTCTTCTCATCACTTCCAAGTGATGTGATGAGGTTTTTTTCGAGCTCACCTCATCACTTCCAAGTGTGTGATGAGGTTTTTCGAGCTCACCTCATCACTTTGAAGCCTCATCACATCACTTCGAAGCCTCTTCTCATCACTTCCAAGTGATGTGATGAGGTTTTTCGAGCTCACCTCATCACTTCGAAGCCTCTTCTCATCACTTCCAAGTGATGTGATGAGGTTTTTCGAGCTCACCTCATCACTTTGAAGCCTCATCACATCACTTCGAAGCCTCTTCTCATCACTTCCAAGTGATGTGATGAGGTTTTTCGAGCTCACCTCATCACTTCGAAGCCTCTTCTCATCACTTCAAGTGATGTGATGAGGTTTTCGAGCTCACCGATCACTTTGAAGCCTCATCACATCACTTCGAAGCCTCTTCTCATCACTTCCAAGTGATGTGATGAGGTTTTTCGAGCTCACCTCATCACTTTGAAGCCTCATCACATCACTTCGAAGCCTCTTCTCATCACTTCCAAGTGATGTGATGAGGTTTTCGAGCTCACCTCATCACTTTGAAGCCTCATCACATCACTTCGAAGCCTCTTCTCATCACTTCCAAGTGATGTGATGAGGTTTTTCGAGCTCACCTCATCACTTTGAAGCCTCATCACATCACTTCGAAGCCTCTTCTCATCACTTCCAAGTGATGTGATGAGGTTTTTCGAGCTCACCTCATCACTTTGAAGCCTCATCACATCACTTCGAAGCCTCTTCTCATCACTTCCAAGTGATGTGATGAGGTTTTTCGAGCTCACCTCATCACTTTGAAGCCTCATCACATCACTTCGAAACCTCTTCTCATCACTTCCAAGTGATGTGATGAGGTGTTTCGAGCTCACCTCATCACCTCCAAGTGATGTGATGAGGTTTTTCGAGCTCACCTCATCACTTTGAAGCCTCATCACATCACTTCGAAGCCTCTTCTCATCACTTCCAAGTGATGTGATGAGGTTTTTCGAGCTCACCTCATCACTTTGAAGCCTCATCACATCACTTCGAAGCCTCTTCTCATCACTTCCAAGTGATGTGATGAGGTGTTTCGAGCTCACCTCATCACCTCCGCGATGTGGATGAGGTTTTCGAGCTCACCTCATCACTTTGAAGCCTCATCACATCACTTCGAAGCCTCTTCTCATCACTTCCAAGTGATGTGATGAGGTTTTTCGAGCTCACCTCATCACTTTGAAGCCTCATCACATCACTTCGAAGCCTCTTCTCATCACTTCCAAGTGATGTGATGAGGTTTTTCGAGCTCACCTCATCACTTCGAAGCCTCTTCTCATCACTTCCAAGTGATGTGATGAGGTTTTTCGAGCTCACCTATCACTTTGAAGCCTCATCACATCACTTCGAAGCCTCTTCTCATCACTTCCAAGTGATGTGATGAGGTTTTTCGAGCTCACCTCATCACTTCGAAGCCTCTTCTCATCACTTCCAAGTGATGTGATGAGGTTTTTCGAGCTCACCGCATCACTTTGAAGCCTCATCACATCACTTCGAAGCCTCTTCTCATCACTTCCAAGTGATGTGATGAGGTGTTTCGAGCTCACCTCATCACTTTGAAGCCTCATCACATCACTTCGAAGCCTCTTCTCATCACTTCCAAGTGATGTGATGAGGTTTTTCGAGCTCACCTCATCACTTTGAAGCCTCATCACATCACTTCGAAGCCTCTTCTCATCACTTCCAAGTGATGTGATGAGGTGTTTCGAGCTCACCTCATCACTTCCAAGTGATGTGATGAGGTTTTCGAGCTCACCTCATCACTTTGAAGCCTCATCACATCACTTCGAAGCCTCTTCTCATCACTTCCAAGTGATGTGATGAGGTTTTTCGAGCTCACCTCATCACTTTGAAGCCTCATCACATCACTTCGAAGCCTCTTCTCATCACTTCCAAGTGATGTGATGAGGTTTTTCGAGCTCACCTCATCACTTTGAAGCCTCATCACATCACTTCGAAGCCTCTTCTCATCACTTCCAAGTGATGTGATGAGGTTTTTCGAGCTCACCTCATCACTTCCAAGTGATGTGATGAGGTTTTCGAGCTCACCTCATCACTTTGAAGCCTCATCACATCACTTCGAAGCCTCTTCTCATCACTTCCAAGTGATGTGATGAGGTGTTTCGAGCTCACCTCATCACTTCAAGTGATGTGATGAGGTTTTCGAGCTCACCTCATCACTTTGAAGCCTCATCACATCACTTCGAAGCCTCTTCTCATCACTTCCAAGTGATGTGATGAGGTTTTTCGAGCTCACCTCATCACTTTGAAGCCTCATCACATCACTTCGAAGCCTCTTCTCATCACTTCCAAGTGATGTGATGAGGTTTTTCGAGCTCACCTCATCACTTCCAAGTGATGTGATGAGGTTTTCGAGCTCACCTCATCACTTTGAAGCCTCATCACATCACTTCGAAGCCTCTTCTCATCACTTCCAAGTGATGTGATGAGGTTTTTCGAGCTCACCTCATCACTTTGAAGCCTCATCACATCACTTCGAAGCCTCTTCTCATCACTTCCAAGTGATGTGATGAGGTTTTTCGAGCTCACCTCATCACTTTGAAGCCTCATCACATCACTTCGAAGCCTCTTCTCATCACTTCCAAGTGATGTGATGAGGTTTTTCGAGCTCACCTCATCACTTTGAAGCCTCATCACATCACTTCGAAGCCTCTTCTCATCACTTCCAAGTGATGTGATGAGGTTTTTCGAGCTCACCTCATCACTTTGAAGCCTCATCACATCACTTCGAAGCCTCTTCTCATCACTTCCAAGTGATGTGATGAGGTTTTTCGAGCTCACCTCATCACTTCCAAGTGATGTGATGAGGTTTTCGAGCTCACCCTCATCACTTTGAAGCCTCATCACATCACTTCGAAGCCTCTTCTCATCACTTCCAAGTGATGTGATGAGGTTTTTCGAGCTCACCTCATCACTTTGAAGCCTCATCACATCACTTCGAAGCCTCTTCTCATCACTTCCAAGTGATGTGATGAGGTTTTTCGAGCTCACCTCATCACTTCCAAGTGATGTGATGAGGTTTTTCGAGCTCACCTCATCACTTTGAAGCCTCATCACATCACTTCGAAGCCTCTTCTCATCACTTCCAAGTGATGTGATGAGGTTTTTCGAGCTCACCTCATCACTTTGAAGCCTCATCACATCACTTCGAAGCCTCTTCTCATCACTTCCAAGTGATGTGATGAGGTTTTTCGAGCTCACCTCATCACTTCCAAGTGATGTGATGAGGTTTTTCGAGCTCACCTCATCACTTTGAAGCCTCATCACATCACTTCGAAGCCTCTTCTCATCACTTCCAAGTGATGTGATGAGGTTTTTCGAGCTCACCTCATCACTTTGAAGCCTCATCACATCACTTCGAAGCCTCTTCTCATCACTTCCAAGTGATGTGATGAGGTGTTTCGAGCTCACCTCATCACTTCCAAGTGATGTGATGAGGTTTTTCGAGCTCACCTCATCACTTTGAAGCCTCATCACATCACTTCGAAGCCTCTTCTCATCACTTCCAAGTGATGTGATGAGGTTTTTCGAGCTCACCTCATCACTTTGAAGCCTCATCACATCACTTCGAAGCCTCTTCTCATCACTTCCAAGTGATGTGATGAGGTTTTTCGAGCTCACCTCATCACTTTGAAGCCTCATCACATCACTTCGAAGCCTCTTCTCATCACTTCCAAGTGATGTGATGAGGTTTTTCGAGCTCACCTCATCACTTTGAAGCCTCATCACATCACTTCGAAGCCTCTTCTCATCACTTCCAAGTGATGTGATGAGGTGTTTCGAGCTCACCTCATCACTTCCAAGTGATGTGATGAGGTTTTTCGAGCTCACCTCATCACTTTGAAGCCTCATCACATCACTTCGAAGCCTCTTCTCATCACTTCCAAGTGATGTGATGAGGTGTTTCGAGCTCACCTCATCACTTCCAAGTCTGTGATGAGGTTTTCGAGCTCACCTCATCACTTTGAAGCCTCATCACATCACTTCGAAGCCTCTTCTCATCACTTCCA